TCAAAGGGGATGGCCTTCGCTGCATCATTTGAATGGGAGAGTAAAACTTGAAGAAGCAAAAAGAAATAAATTACTTTTTGGTGATTGAGTCAGCTCAATTGGGTTACCGTTTTTGAAACTTCATTTGTATCTAGCTTTTTCCTATTTCATGAGGTGTTTAACCTCCTTGTATCTATTCAATGGTTTGTAAATGATTGTAATTGGTTATTGTTTAATTAATGGTAATCTTTTGTGAATGAAATTCTCTGATTTCTAGTATTATTGAGTTTATGTTGTTTTTTTGTTTTTTTAGACACACATAAAGAGAGAGAGAGAGAGAGAGATCATTCAAATTCAAGGCCTATAAGAGAGATGGTTATCCAAAGCAGGTCTATGATGGTTATAAAGCTATTTTGTATGCCCTCTGGCATGGTGAAAGGAGAGAATGTATCAAACACTCATTATAAAATATAAAATAAAATGAGAACTATGGGTTATAAATGCATTTAACTATCCAAGTAAACCCACATTGCACACGATAATGACATACATAAAAAAGAAAGAAATGTCACACATAAATTACCAAAAAATCACCAAATGGGTTATTTAGATGCTCCATAAAGTGGTCCTTTATATGCCCCCCCCATAAAGAGGTCCTTTACATGCCCGTAAAATTATATGAATATTGTATTTACATGTCTCCAAAATTCAAAAAATTAATCAAGTCCTTTACATGTTCCATAAATAGGTCTTTTATATGCTTGCAAATTCCATGAAGGTCTTCTCTTTTTAATCCTTGGTTGTCCTCCAGGAAACTGCTCTTGTTGGTCTGTCATATCTGCAACATATGAACAACATCAATACACCAACACAAGAGGTCCTCAAATCCAAGTCATTTATTTACCAAAGAGGTCCTCAAAATAAATATTGGAGAAGTAATTTTCCGAAGAAATTGTGTTTTGAGAAAGTAATTTGCCATATATTAGAAACAAATCCAAGATCATCCGTTAAAATGTAGAATTAAAGTGCAGTTTATAAACCTGTCAGAAAAGGTTCTTTTAATGTTGAAAAACCTTCTAATTGATCATCTTGACATTAAAATATATGTATATGAAAAAAAAAAAAAAGAAGAAGATTTTGAGTCCTAGAAATAGTGAATTTTGCAACAAATTATTTAGACGGTCCATTTTTAAGATTTTTGTATATTTATATATCTATTTGATTTGAACTATTTTTTAAATTTGAAATTTTCTAATTCAAGATGACAATATACTTTCAAATAATCCAAAGAATTTTTGACATCCAAATTACATATCATGATAGAATTTGTAGATGCGCCGAAATTGTAATGTTTAACGTTGCAACTTTATGCAAACCACACCATATATATATATATATATATATATATATATATATAGTAAA